GGCAAGAGCGAGTGTGCACTAGAACATGTGAGCTGGCGTTACTTACCCTCTCGGAATGTGGGGTTCTCCAAGGACTGCAAGAATTGCAGCTAGCAAAAGCCACAGGAATGTAGGACTGCAGGCATTGCCCGGAACTGCAAGCTGCAGCAACCGCAAGAACATAGGACTGCAGGGTCTGCGGCCTGCCGAAAGAAAACTTGAAAACAAAGCGCTTAGCACTTGGAACATAAGAAATACTGCTACCGAATACTACTAATATCTCATGCCAGTTAGTTTTTTGTATTGCAATGCGTGCATGCAAGCATNNCCTCTACCTCTACCGCTACCTCTACCTCTATCTCTACGCGGACCTCTACACTACCTCAACCCCAACCCGTTACCTCAACCCCTACCCCTTCCGTACAAGCACGCAAACATACATGCATACATACATACATACATACATACGTACAGATAGAGAGAGAGAGAGAGGGAGAGAGAGAGAGAGAGAGAGAGAAAGAGAGCGAGAGAGACTGACATGCATACTAGCCGGACAAGACACTGACCGCAAACATAGCTGTAATGATGGCTGCGATGATATATAATGATGATGGTGATGTCGGTGACGAAGGTAGTGGTGATGATAGCGATGGCCACGATGGTGGAGGCGGTGGAGGGTCTTGGTCGAGTCTGGTGCAGGGGTATTGATGGAGACGATGGTGGTTGCTATGATTTCTCACTGTGTTGTTGATGATGATTATGATCGTGATGATGGTAATGATAATCATCATGATGATAATGATCATGTGATAAACGATGATAATTATGATGTTTCTGATGATCATGTTGATGATGGTCATGCTGATGATGGCCAGGAAGAAGAATATGATGCCGATGATCATGACGAGGATGATGATGATGCTGGTGATTGTCATGGGGATGGGGTGGGGGTTTCTGATGATGATCCCTGTTGTCTCTGTTGAGGACGGTGCTACTGGTGATAACAAGTCTCATCACAATGCTGATGTTGATCCTTATCAAGATCGCAATGCTCCCCGTTTCTGATAACCGAACCGAAAATGCGAGGGTTCGACAACGCAAGTACGGACAGAAGCTTGCAGTTCCTCTAAACACTTCGAACCAAGTCTACCTCCCAGTGTGATCCAAGGCCCGGGCTTACGCAACAGCTCCATGTTCTCACAGAAAAACTCCACGAAAATCTCCAAGTATGCCCTGAGTCAACTTATCATCTGAGTGTCGATCTACGTGTCTGCATACATAGCTAGCCGGCTAGCCGTCTGTCGAGCAAACGACCTATCTAAGCTTCGGCTTTCGACATTCTGCTGCAGATCTCTCTGACTTTTGAATCTCCAGCCGCAGTCTTTTCTTGTCTGGAATGGATTGAAACCCACCACAACCAAAATGATCCGTGCGCAGTGCTTCACCTCTTCCATAGAACTGCTGAAGCCCGTAACTTTGCAGATGCAGCGCAGACTTCACAGTCCAGAAACTCAAGCCCGGGTCATATCTGAATCCCTAAGCTCTGGAACCCGAAAACTAAAACCCTAGGATGCAGGATGCTATGGAAGGCCACCTACTTAAACCGTGTAAACAAGGCAACTATACCTGTAGCTACTTGTAACCCCAATCAAGGTACTTCTAACCTTACTTACTACGTCCCTTGATCCTCTATCTAGACGCAATGGAAACAGTTAAATGCAGACAATGTAGAGCGATGTTATAGTAAGATTAGGAACAGGCGTGGGGTCTGATACACTACCATAATACTTGGGAGCCTTTTACGGAACAGTGCAAGATACTACGCACTGTTCTTACCAGAACGGGCTCTCCAGAATCAGGGACGCGCAGGAATAGCAAGGGTGATTCTAGTCTATGCCATGCTTGTATTCCGTAACCTATACGGACTGTTGCTACTATAGCTACTCATCCTCTACATGGGTAGTTCTCTAGATTAGGGTCCCCTTTTAGGTTCCTATTCACAGGGGTGCCGTACAATTTTGGGGACCTAAACCAAAACGGGACCCGAATTTAGAGAACTACCTATATGAACTGCAACGGAATGGCTGGTCGAAGCTCCGGATCTGGACCTTTGGAAGAGGGCTTTTCCCGAGTCGCCGAGGTGGTAGTTGGTACTTGTACTAAGGTCTTCCAGTAAGGTTGGGGAGGGTACAATACATCAGTTTAGGTGTTGGGTTTAGGACTTTAAGGTTTATAAGGTTTAGGAGCTTAGGATAGGGTCCAAAGATTTGTTGGCTTTATGTTGCAGGTCTTTGTGATCCAGGGTATTCGGCCAGTGCCAGCCGGAGAGCGAGAGACAAGCACAGGGTGATGCATGCAAAGAGGGTTCAGCGTCACGCTTTAGGTTACACATCGGTTTGCTACACAGAACATAGGTGGCTGATCTCCATACGGCACAGGGAATCTTGACGTGATACGGACGCCGTGAAAGCTCAGGAGCCAATTCACGAGAGTTCCGAAATCCGTCGATGGGAAGTGAGGAAACTACGTCCGTGCGCAAGGGGCTCGGCTAGTCGTGTTCACACTTCACTTGAGTCAATAGAGGCTCCCCTCCAACCTGAGCATCCCAGACCTTGAATCCTCAATCAAGAGATCGCAATCACTGACCACGAGGCTAGTGATTCTGGGAGCCTTCAACTTGGGAGTGCAGATTCGAATGGGGATGTGCAGGACGAACGCATAAGCAAACTGCTTCTGGCTTCCCATGCAGTCTGGCTGGTGATGAGGCTCCTTTAACTTTGGGACTGGCTGCGGCTGCCCCGAAGGCCACAACAGAATCGAAAGCTGGCTCAAGACGAAGCTTCGGATTCCATGGCCCTTACTGCAGGCCGAAAGGTCCTCGGAGTCCTCGGAAGCGGAGCAAAGGGCTCGGCCCTACAGCCTCCAAAGCATCCAAAGGCACCCAATTGCAGGTGTTCTTCTCCTGGCATCCGAGGAGGCGTCCGTCCAACAAGAGGAGTGCAAATCGTCCGGCGGCCCCGCTTACGCTCGCAACTTCTCCGATGATGGGCATCTGCAACTTGCCCCAGGTCACAACGAAGCCATCTTGCCTCAGGGCTGCGAAGGCAGCTGAGGATGCACACAACGCGCGTACACCCTGTAATTCATGTTGAACTCGTCGGCTGTCGCCGCCGTGGGATGGAGAACCCCAGGTGACCACGGTGCCGTCGTAAAGCAGAGCTGCAAATGCGGAATCGGAAGCTTGTAACTGGACTACATTCCGAAGTTTTGGCTGGGCGCCGCCGGCCACACCTCCAGCCGAGCTTTCACCCCATGCTACCACGTGGCCATCTGCACGCAAAGCGGCAAAGGCTCCATCCGTCCCACAAAGCTGCGTTATATTCCATAGTTGCTGCTGTACCCGCGAACAGTCCCCACCGCAATCAGAATCACCCCAACATACTACGCTTCCGTCGGAAAGCAGCGCTGCAAAAGCACCGCGCGTCCCTGCCATGTATACGGGATCGTGCAGCTGGTGCTGAACATCGCTGCTATCACCGCTCCCACCTCCTGATTCATCTCCCCAGGTGACCACGGAGCCGTTGCGGAGCACCGCTGCAAAGGATTGTCCCGCACTGTAGAGCCGGTCGACATCTCTCAGCTGAGCCGAAACCTCCCTACAGTCCCCACCATCGTCCGGATTTCCCCAGGCCACCACGCTCCCATCTGCCTTCACGGCAGCAAATGCACCAAAGGTGGCAGAAACCTGCTTGACGTTTACGAGGCCTGCCGGGCCAAGCCCCCCGACATCCCGTGCTCCGTAGGTCCGCACGCTCCCGTCGGATCTCAGCACTGCAGCGGCCCCTGTTGTAAAGCTCACATCCTCCACGTCATGCAAGATATGATTCAACAAGGGGCCGCCTTGCATTGGCTCACCCAAAAATCGTGCCGTTCTGTCTGCGGAGATAAGGACAAAGGCGGGCAAGTGGCGGATTGAGAGCAGCCGTGCTTGACCCACGGTCGCATAGAGGATATCCCCATTCTGAAGACCCGCCTCTTTCAATGAGTCTTCCAGTTTCAGCACGGAGGACCCATCCTCTTTGCACACGGAGCCAATTGGAACTCCTAACTCTTCCCCAGCCCAGCGCATCAATGACTTGATGTTCAGTTCTTCAGACCATGGCACCGAAACAGTGCGACCACTCAAGAGGCTCACGTGCACAGCCATGGCTGCACAACGTGTCGTAAGCGAGGGAATCTGCTTCCTGGAGTCCGGATCATGGGCAAGAAGATAGGAAGCCTTCTACAATTGCTGATCCGATTTGTGCTCCCCCTGTCTTAACTTCAAGCACAAGAGCCAGCTCTGTGAAGTTACTTGTTGGTGTCGCGATAAGTTGAGGACGAAGAGATCTGGAATGCATATAAAATCTGGAATGTTGTGGAATGTTGAACCTGCAGCTGGTAAAGTCTCAGCCACAGGCTCAATGGCAGCAGGCGGCTACTACATGTCCACGGATCAAATTCTGCAGCGCCTATACAAACAACAAAATTCTGCAAAACACAGACGAAAAATGGCATCCTTGTACGGTCTACGGTAAGTCCTGATATTGCTACGCATGTGCTGACCATACACTCATCAACTTCTTGCAAACCGGCGGCCAAGTACCGGTTGATGCGGACAATGTCGGACAAGCCTGGGAGCTGGGTACACGAGTGCTTGGTTCCAGGTCTTGGAATCCCGGGCGGTCGCAGGCTTGGGGTATTGAGGGCTGAGAATATGATTCTGAGCAGTTGCGCAGCTCGAACAGCAACAGCTGTGTCCGAAGTTCAGAACTACGAACCAACCCGACACCTCTAGCCCACCATTATCCCAACTCCCACCGCCCAATACATACCTACCTACCTACCTACCTACCTACCTGCCTGCCTACCTACCTACCTACCTACCTACCTACCTACCTACCCACCTCCCTGCCTGCCTGCCTGCCTGCCGCCCACCTACCCACCTACCTACCTACCTACCTACCTACCTACCTACCTACCTACCTACCTACCTACCTACCTACCTACACACATACTTACTTACTTACTTACTTGCTTGTTTGCTTGCCTTACCTTGAAATAAATTACATACATGAGATTGTGCATAAGTACATATATATATATATATATGTATTTATGTATGTATGTATACACATGTATATTCATACACATGTGGACAAAGACCCCTCCGATGACCTACGCCAGGCTCTTTTCCATCGTAGCTAGCATCAAGCATGTCTCTTGGGAGGGAAACGCATTTTGCAGAATCTTCATGGATGACCTCCAACTCTCAAACCAAGTGCTTTTACAATCCCATGGCACATGTGCTCGACATGAAAATCAGAGTGTTCGTACACACTTAGTCTTAATTAATTGAGTGTAAACACGAGCACGAAACATGCAAAGGGACCACAACACCCAAGTCCTGTACACTCACGTCCACCTTATTCTTACTTTGTGTGTAGTCAAGAGCAAGAAACATTTCAAGAGACCATACGAGAACGGAAGCTAACAACAAGAATCTAAAACCTTTGTGGGCCCTGAAACTGTTAGACTTGGCAATGCTAGGGTTGTGTTGTATCAGGAGGTCTGTGTGGGCAATGGGGGCCGTATGGCTCGGCAGCTCGGCAGCAGTATCATTCGGAGTCGGTAACAAGTGCGAGAGTTGGGGGCCATTGAGCCAGTCTTTCATTCTCGTCGGCCATGTTGGCACTTTTGAGACAAAAGTCAGACCCTCACGAGGACTTCGGGTGTATATCGAGGGGGGGGGGAAGGGTGTACCAACACGCGACACGAGACCATATATACATATGTACATAAACACATAAATTATATATTTCTATGTGTACATGCATACACACAAACATGCATGTTATATTACATCGTATGTATACAATATGCACGTGTTACAACTACATACATATGTCTATATATATATATATATGTGCATATTTAATGTGTATACAGCTTGACTGAGATCGGGTCTTCAAGGTTACCGAAGGTAAGGCTCCGACTGAGTTTGTAGTAGTTGTTGCACATCCAGGTCCGCAGCCACTCCGTGTTCAGAAACTCCTGGAAGTGGGTTCGGATCATGCGGCTTGTCGGGCTTCGAATTAAGAGTGTCAGGTTGTGACGCTGGGGTTTGGGACTTACGGTGTAGGGTTTATTGACAGCGTGCATCTGTTGTCGCGCTCAGGGTTCACTTTACTGCTTATCGGTTGTTCCTGCGAAAAAAAGCATGCTGCCCATGTAGCTTGTGCATAGCGACGCGCAGGCAAACGAACCTTCCGCCGCACTAGATATTGCTCTACGAGAAAGCACGATAGCCCTAAAGACCGTGCCCCAGATTTTTCAAGGCCCCACTGGAGATCCTTGCGCTTTGAGGGGCCCATCATGGCGATGCCGAACATGAAGCGCTCCAGGACATCCTATGCTTCAACTGTATGGTTTAGGGTTCAGGTGCGTGACAGAGTTGAACCATAAAGTGCTTACGGAAGGTATGAGGGGTGTTGTTTAAATTTGGGGTTTAGGGTTCAAGCGCCACAGGCTCGTAGGATGTAGTATAGGATTCTGCGGTCCGAGAAGCATCTGCAGGTACGAAATATCGAGTGCAACAGAATTCAGGGCTTATAGACTGTTGGGAAATGCGCCTTGCTTTGGCGGCTCTCTGGTTACTACTATGATAAAACTCATTTTCTCAACAACAACGGTTTGTTGAGAGCAAGGGTAACCCAGAGTTACTCTGTGTCTGCGCCACGACTCCCGGTGCTTTATGCATGGGCGCTCTAATATGAGCCTTGTTGGGCATATCATGCACGAAGATGCGCATGAAACACAATCTGAGTTACTGCCACCTTTCTCACTGCCTTGATGGCTAGCTTTCTGCATCAGTTGAAGGTTTCTTGGCACAGGCTGGATTTGTGTGGTGAGTTACCCTAACCCCCCAGGTACCTACTATATAGGGTACTAGAGCCCCTAGGGCCCTAAATAGTAGGTACTTGGGGGGTTAGGGTTACAGCAAACCGATACTGCCAAAGGCAAAGGAGCGACTCCCCAAAGGGGACCCTCCCGGATTCTTCAGAACTATGCACGTAGGCAGAACTGTACTAAGAGTATTCTTGACACTGAAGGCTAATATAGGGACCTAATAATTATAAGTAATTACCAATCCTATTCTGAGGTTCCTTTCAAGAAGTCGAGCATTTTGGCTGAGTGACTTGTGGTGCCGCAGGGAACCGCTCCTGTCGGTGCCCCTATCCACGCAGGATTTGCCAAAATTAGAGGCTCCTGTTTGAGTAAGCTGCATATTTATAGTAATGTATAGTAGGGGTACCTGGACATTCCAAAGTATGTAGAATAATAGCCTTTTATAGAGTTTGGGCCATTATTTTACCTACTTTTGGGGGCTAAGGTATTAGTATGACATGGCAGGGGACCCGACTCAAACTCACATCTTTTTCCAAGACCATGATAGGGGAAACTGCGGTACGTGGTTTCGCCATATCGTGGATCTCAAGCTTCACAGTCGTTGCTTACGGTCGGAGGCCTGGTTTCAGAGTTTGGGAGGTTCGGTCTAATCATTGTGCATTCGTCAGAGGCGTGTGCACTTGTAGCAACTTGTTGACTCCGATAATCAGGGCCCATCTGCAAACCAGACCGCATCCAAAGAGGCTTAGGGTTGAGCCTCGCAATAGACAAGATGATTTCCGCGTTGTGTCGTCATCGGAGCAGGAGATATGTATTCGATCTCCGAAGCTACGAAAATCTGCATCAATTTCCAGAAAACCGAAGGACTCGAATACCCAAAAGCACCCCCAAAGCCTCAACCCCCCCCGTCCCCCCCGTCCCCCACCCTGTCGCCTTTGGCAAGGTTCCTTGCGGATCCGACTCGCCGAGCCTTTGAGGAACTCTCGAGTACCCGAGGCCTGACCCTTAGACTTTGGGTTTAAGATGGGTTTAAGGGCTTGCGGTTTAGTGTCCAGGGCTTCACTTATGAGAGCCTCAAGCCCTAAACCCCAAACCCTAAACCCTAAACCCCAAACCCCAAACCCTAAAACCCCAAACCCTATAAGCCCCAAACCCCAAAACCCTAAAGTTGGGCCTGTGGATCTGGAGCTCCTAAACTCCCTGTAGGATCCCCACCTTATAACAACCCAACACCGGACGGCAAAGCCCAAAAGCTTACGGTTTAGGATTACGGATTAGGGATTAGGGTTTAGGGATTAGGGTTTAGGGATTGGGGATTAGGGTTTGGGGATTGGGGTTTNNNNTTCGGTGGGGTTAAGGGTTTAGGGTTGCCCAAACGTTGGGAAACTGTGGGCTTTGGATGATCCTAGAGGCTTTGGGCTTTGACGAGAGAGGTCCATGGGAGGATGGGTGACGTGTCGCAACTCCGGCACTTGGTAAGTCGGACCCCCAGCACTTCCATGGTTGAGACCAAGTACCGCGCCACAGCCAAGCTGAGTGTAACCCAGAATCCGGGGCTGATAATTTTGGCGAGTCTTACAAACCGTTATTCAGGTCATGCGCGTGAGCCAACCCCACACCCGAGTTCCTGGAACCCCAACCCTAAACACTCAAATTGTCAAAGCCTGAAGCAAAGGCAAAAACCAACCAATGACCACCCCCCGCTTTAGCCCTGGCCCTAAGCTCAACTCAAGCCCTTAGCCAACAAAAACCGAAAACCCTAAACCCTGAACCCAACCCAAAAACCACTCATTCGATGGCCAAGCGCTCCAGCAATTGGCGCATTCGCTCCTTGGCAGGGACGGACGCCCTGGTCTAGGGCAAGGGTTAGGGTTAAGGGATGTGCAGGGCGGAAGATTTCTGGGTCTATGGTTCCTAGGCACTCACCGCTCCGTTCTGCGCGTGGTCTGATGTGAAACCCCTTTTGACAAACAGAACCTTTACCGTTCACCCTGTTCCGACTTTACCCTATTCCAGCTTTAACAGCAACAGCTGTTATGCCCGTCCTTCTGGTTCTGAAGTTCTTGAATATGGACCTTCAGCACCCTGAACACCATATGGCAACTGTCTCCACCGCAGACACCCTTTTGCAGCTGAAAGTAATCCCTCCTGGTGGATGGAGATGCAGAGATTCCCTTATTAGCCTTCCTTGTGCCCTACAAAACGTGGTTTCAAAGACAATCTCTAGCAAAACCGGATAAATAGGTGTTGAGGGATCCA